GCTCCTACCCTGGGGGTCTTTAAGAAGAGGCTTGATGCCTGCCTGGCTGGAGTCATTTGAGCCCAGTTTTTCTCCTGCCCAGGCAGGGGGCCGGACTTGAAGATCTACAAGGTCCCTTCTGACCCTACTTCTATGATTCTGTGATCTGTGGTGCTACAGAGCTGTCCATGGTGTCATATACCACACATGCAGGTGCTCCCCCTTGCAGCATGGAGGGGGTTTTTTCACCCCAGGAGATCCGGGGAGATCCTGAGGTCCCTCCCAACCCTAATTTTCTATGATTCTATGAAGTGTTCTGTGTTCAAAGCAATGCAAATGTAGTACAACTTGCTTCCCACCGCGTAGCATTGTTTTATGCCAGGCAGATGTGTTGGGTCTGATTCTGAATCCCAGGTTCCACCTGTATCAAGTATGGATATTTACAGTATTGATGCTGGAAAAGGGTGATGGAACTTTTACAAAGTGAAGTGAAGCCATACCCTGGCCTTGAAGACTGGAAGGTGGGTTACTGCAGAAAGGGAAACTGACTTTACATCACTGATGGATTTCCTGATGCAAGGAGAATTCTTGGTTAGCAGACCAGCATTAGGTCTGCTTTAGTAAGGTCAGGACCTGAAAATCCTTTGCCTTTTGCTCCAGGATTTAATGAGGGAATGAAAGCCCTCTTTTCCATCTAAGCCTATAAATAATATCTCCCTGTAATTGCTTTGTTTTTCATCAAGGCATAAATTTTCTCTGTCTTTTAAATAGGCCAGAAGTATCCTAAAAGTTGTCAGAGGCAAATTCTTACAACAAGGTGGTCTGCTACAATGTTTTTTTAAAACAAAATGATAACAGCTATTAACAAGCAAACAATCCTATGCCAACTTACCTGAAATACAGATGAATCCAGAAGAGAAAAAAGCTTCATTGTACGAGGACAGCTTGTCCGTCTGTGCATAGACTGCATAAATGGACATGTGAGAGCAGGAGCACTCCACATAGTCTGAAGTGTCATCAACCACTCTGCAGAACTGACCATCAGACAACCAGCTATAGCAGAAACAAAAGATTCACAAAGTCCTCATTCACAAGTGTTCATCTAGAGACTGATTTCTTAAAAATAAATAAAATAAAATCAGTCTGAAATTAAAGTGCCTTTTATAATCCAGAAATAATATGGGATTTCATTTTTAAGAAGTAGAACTAGTCAAGTATTTATCCAAGGCATGATCCATCCAGTTGTCTAAAACATCAGTTCGTGTTATACAAATATCAAGGGAACTGGCCTTGTCTAATTCTCATGCTAACCAGACTTGAAAATGACAGCAAAAGTGTTGTTTTCACATGCTTATAAAAACAAAAAATTCCAGACTTCACAAATTAATCTCTGACATCTTCCAGGTGCAGTCAGACTACATTTTCTACTTGAAATTAAATCTGTATAGTATTTGCAGCTTTTCTTTGCTTTTTCTAGTTGGAAAATAAAGTAAATACATAACATGGAAAATAGCTGCACTAAAGAATCACTGTGATTGTATTTCTCAAAGCTCTTATAACATTGGTATAATGACTTGCTTTGTAATCTAGCTTGTATCATGGGCTAGGTACAGACTATTCAAAAGCCCAAGGTGGAATCAATCCAAGCTACCTGTTTTTCTGTAATCAGCATAGCAAACAGAACATACATTCACCCTTTGGTAGGGGTAGTGAGGGGAAGTGGGGGTGGGGGGGAAGGAGCTAAATCTTTGATTGGGTTCATTTTTAAACCAGTTTGTGTGCACCAAACTTCTGTTACAGGTATAGCCTGGTTTTGTGTGCTGAGCATCTGTTCTGTTATGGGTGTAGATTGGTTTCCAATCACTTCTACTGGTAAAAATGTAATGTCTGTACCTGGCCATGGAGAATGGTTTGTTGTATGCTGATATTTGTGCCTTTTTAAGCCTATTTAGTGTTTATGTTTTATTTGGTCTTGGGCCAAGTTGCTCCAGGTAGCTCCTTAAGTATCAGTGAGGACACTGTTTCCTATTCCATAAAACTAGACACATATTTGAAGTACTAAAATAATGAAAAGGAAAGTGTCCCAAAAGAGAGTGTGCATAAAAGGTAGAATCAGAAAGTACCTCGTTGTCCTGCTGCCCCTCTTCTTTTCAGAAAATAAATTATTTAATCCAGTAATGGAGTGGTTTAATTTGGCCATTATAATGAAAATGATAATCAAAACTCATAAGACTTTGGCAACTCACAATGGGTTATTTAATTTGCTACAGAGTAAGAAACAAAGCAACCACAGGCTAACACAAGGCAGCATGTACAAGTGATCACACAAGAAAAAACACCACCAGCTAATCTGTACTTCTGCACTAGATACTTAACATGAGCTAGGAGAGCAAAATGAAAACTTGCAGTCTCCTGCACTCAGCTCAGTGTACCTTCCCATGAGCCAAAAGAAGGGTGAGGAAAGTTGAAGGGATGCAGATATTTTGGTCTGTGTCCATTCCAAAGTAATTCATTGTGGCATGGAGAAATGCAGCACTTTTATATATATATATATATAT